AAATAGTGAGAAGAAATTATGCTTATATAACTTGGAAGAAATTGCTCTGAAAAGCAGTGCTAAAATTAAAAGGAAAACATGGTACATAAATTTGGAACTGGAAATCAGGAAAATGTATTTTTAATTAGCTACCTCAAATTCTTCACTGTATAAGTTACAAGAATCAACTGGAAACCATTGATTAGTAGAGGAAGGAAGGAAGGAAGGAAGGAAGGAAGGAAGGAAGGAAGGAAGGAAGGAAGAAAACATGTTTGTTTGTTTTTTTTAACTGGGCCACTCACTACTTGTAGTCCTTGAACAAGTCATTTTAAACACATTAAATTTTGACTAAATTTTGTTGACCAAATCTGTAGGGTTCTGTAGCTCTAAAATACTATAGTTCTATTAAAACTTAATTGGACTCTAAAACCAATAAAATATAAAGCTGATTGTAATCTTGGCAAACAAAGATATTTTCTTCTTTTTAAGTAAAAATCATATTTATAATGTGTAGTACTTACTTTGTACTATTGTTGGTTCTATGCTTAAAGTGTTGCATGCATTAACACAGGTCCCCATTTTATAGACGATGAAATTGAGGCACAAACTTTAAGTGACTTGCGGAAAGTCATCTGTGGGGATGAGTTTTGAACTAGATATTAAGACCATACTCCTAAAAACTAAATGTAGCTGACTCTTAGAGACTCCTTACTGTGAGCCTGCTTTTCACACATATTGTGATAATCCCAGTGTGAAATGTAGGATACATTATCTTCTCAGTGAAAATGCAAGCATTGCATTTTAACATCACTCAGCAATCACATTTATTTTACCATTTAAAAAATTTTTCAACTTCTGCTTGAAAGATACAGTTATGTTTTTATGTCAAATACTTTTTGGAGTCCTGTAACATGTTACATTGTTACAAAGCTTTATATCTTTAATTCTGAAGTACTATCACATTGAACCCCCAAGACCCCTTTTAAAGGCTTTAAAAATCTTAGAATCAATGAAGATATTTTGTTACTCATCAGTTTATCAGGTGTGAGCCAAGATTTTTGTTATAGTTTTGGAAATAAAATTGTAAGTAATTTAAACTTTTAAATAGATTGTTTTTGTCCCTGAAATACATTGCTCATTTTCAAATTTTACCTATTCAGTAAACATATATTAATAGTCTAATGCTACTAAACCAATATATTGAGTATTCTTACAGAAGTAGTAAAATGTACATAGACATAATATATAATATTTGATAGCAGTCACAAGTGCCTTGAGGCAGAAACAGGGTGTTATAGAAGGAAGAAGGAAATTATTACATCTAGATTGTATTAAGGGCAGACTGCATGGAATCTGTGTTTGTAATGGCCTAAGAATAGAGCAGGTGTTTACAAAGGAAAATGAAAGTGACAAATAGATTTGAACATCTGTCCCAAGATGAGAAAGTGTGAAACATTTAGTAGTAAAAGCTAAACACTTTAAATACAGGGAAGTAGTTCAAAGGATAGATGGGGCTCATTGGGTGACTCCAGATCCCTGGTGCCAGGATAAGAAGCTAGCATTTATTCCTTAAAATAGGGTTTTGAACATCTGGTTAACATTTTTTAGAGAGTTTTAATTTAGAGAAATTAATCTGGCTGTGGTTTATAGAATACATTTTGGAAGCAGCAGGCTCTAAAAGCAAGAGGATTCCATTAACACACAGAAATACGGCACTAAAATTAGATAGTGACCATGATAACAGAGAACACAGAGAATCATCAAAAGTGCTTTGGAAAGAAATTAGAAGTATTTGGGAAATGAATGAATGAACAAAAATTAAAGGTGCTGAAAGGCATTTTTATCATTTTATATTAAGGCTCTGGAAGGAAATAGAGGACATTGAAAGAGAAGCAGATATAAAAGGGATAGCACATTCTCAATTCTGTGCTAAAGCACCCTGAGCAGAGTCAGAAAGATTTTTTTAAAGAAAATAACTAGTTATTTAAAAATAACTATGACAACTTCTTTTTCCACTTATTTTTAAATATCTATCTATCTATCTATCATCTATCTATCTATCTATCTATCTATCTATCTATCTATCATCTATCATCTATCTATCATCTATCTAGAGATACAAGTAGAGAGTGAGGGAGTCACATTTTATGCGCTGACTCAATCTCTAGTTTCTAGAGAAGCGTCCCAAACTTTTGGAAAAGTTTCAGTTAAAATGAGAAAAGTGAGCAAATAAACATAGATAAAAGGATCCTTAGCAATTTGTGGACTAAGCAGAGAGTCAATAATAACACGAACTTCCAGTATGACCAGTTGAACTCATCATATTACTTTTTCAATGACTCTGTGGGCCTTAGGAGCATAAATAGATGAAGAATTTGTAC